AATGTCTCTAGTGGGTGAACAGTTCATATAATATATTGTTTAGAGAATAGTGAACTAGCTCATCAAGTTAAAATTTACCACTCATATTTTCAAGACAGTATGATATAATGCAAATAACACACTAGCTCTGTTTTAAAATTCTGAAATTTATTTTAAGGTGCAATTTGATCGAAAGTAAAAAGTTATGTGAAAGGTTTTTCATAATAATCTAGTGACATATATACCATAAAATTCGGTCTTTTAAAGTGTACAATTCAGAGGCACCTGGGTAGCTCAGTCAGTTAAGTGTCAGACTTCAGCTCAGGCCATGATCTCACGGCTTATAGTTTCGAGCCCCACGTCGGGCTCTGTGCAGACAGCTGAGAGCCTGGTTTCTGCTTCGGATTCTGTGTTTCCCTCTCTCTCTGCCCCTCCCCTGTTCATTCTCTGTCACTGTCTCTCAAAAGTAAATAAACATTAAAAAAAAAGTGTACAATTCAGTGTTCTAATATATCCAGACTTGTGCAACCACCATCACTAAATAATTTCAGGACATTTTCATCACCCCAAAGAGAAACTCTATACCCTCTAGTGGTCATTCCTTTCCCCCAACCCCTGGCAACAACCACTACCTACTTGGTCTCTATGGATTTACCTCTTCTGGACATTTTGTTTGAGTGGAATCATGCAACATGTGGCCTTTTGTGATGGAATTCTTTCACTTAACATGATGTTTTCAAGGTTTGTCCACATTGTGGCATGTATCTGTATGTGTATTTCATTCCTTTTTTTTTTTTTTTTTAAGTTTATTTACTTATTTTAAGAGAGAGAGAGCATACACACAGGGAAGGGGCAGAGAGAGAGAGGAAGAGAGAGAATCCCAAGCAGGCTCCATGCTGTCAGCACAGAGCCCTATGTGGGGCTCAGCCTCATGAACTGTGAGATTATGACCTGAGCTGAAATCAAGAGTCAGACACTTAACCGACTGAACCACCCAGGCGTCCCCAGGGTACTTCATTCCTTTTTATTGACAAATACTATTCCACTGTATGGATATACCATATTTTATTTATCCACCAGCTGATAGACGTTTGGGTGGTTTCCACTCTTTAGCTATTGTAAACAGTGCTGCTATGAACATGTGTGTGAGAACTTTTGTGTGGATATATGTTTTTATTTCTTTTGGGTGTGATATTGCTGGATCATATGGTAACTCTATGTTTAACATTTCATGCTATCAACCTGTTTTTCAAAGGGGCTACACCGCTTTACATTCCCACCAACAGCGTATGAGAGTTCCAATTTTTCCATATCCTCATCAACTTTGTCATTGTCCATCTTTTTTATTATAGCTGTCCTAAGTAGGTGAAAAGTATTATCTTGTTATGGTTTTGATTTGCATTTCCTTTAAATTTGTTTTTCAACGTTTTTTATTTATTTTTTTGGGACAGAGAGAGACAGAGCATGAACGGGGGAGGGGCAGAGAGAGAGGGAGACACAGAATCGGAAACAGGCTCCAGGCTCTGAGCCATCAGCCCAGAGCCTGACGTGGGATTCGAACTCACGGACCGCGAGATCGTGACCTGGCTGAAGTCGGACGCTTAACCGACTGCGCCACCCAGGTGCCCCTGCATTTCCTTAAATAGCCAATGATGCTGAGCATCTTTTCATGTGCTTATTAGCCATTTGTACATCTTCTTTGGAGAAATGCCTATTCTAATCTTTTGTCCATTTTTAGTTGGATTATTTGTTTTTTATTGTTGGGTTGTGAAAAGCTTTTAAGCTAAAAAGTTATAGATAATTCAAAAATAATTTTGAAGAAAATGAAGTGAAATGGTATAGGGCCCTTCTTGTGTTTCAGGAGTTTGAGTAGAAGGGTTATGTGGAGGCTCAATGGACCCGGAAGGTGACATACTTCCATTTCCTGGTTGGGAGTGTCCAGAGAAAAACCCAGCCCATGAGGGAGTATAAAGAGCACAACTTCGGGGCGCCTGGGTGGCGCAGTCGGTTAAGCGTCCGACTTCAGCCAGGTCACGATCTCGCGGTCCGTGAGTTCGAGCCCCGCGTCGGGCTCTGGGCTGATGGCTCAGAGCCTGGAGCCTGTTTCTGATTCTGTGTCTCCCTCTCTCTCTGCCCCTCGCCCATTCATGCTCTGTCTCTCTCTGTCCCAAAAAAATAAATAAACGTTAAAAATAAATAAATAAATAAATAAAAAAATAAAGAGCACAACTTCTTGGTGGAAAGCCGTGGGTTTGGGACGGGGTGAGGGATGACCAGTATCCAGGCTTCCTGGGGCATAGGGAATCAATTTTCTGTGTCAACCTGGCTAGGTTATAGTACCCAGCTTTTCCATCGAAAGCTAATCTAGGTGTTGCTGTGAAGGTATTTTGTAGATGTGGTTAACCTCTACAACCAGTTGAATTTAAGTAAAGGAGGTTATTCTCAATAATCATCCAATTAATTGAAGGAACTTAAGAACAAAACCGAGATTTCCCTGAGGAAGAAGACTAGTCAGTCTATAGACTATAGTCTCAGCCCCTGCCTGAGAGTTTTGAGCCTGCTGGCCTGCCTTACTGATGTCAGACTGGCCAGCCCGCACTGTCACATAAGCCAATTCCTTGAGATAACTCTTTATATATGAATATGTAGCCTACTGGTTTTGTTTCTCCGGAGAACCCCTACCGATACAGGGGGGAGGTAGATGTCTTGTCATGAACTTCCCATTTGAATCTATTGTAAACACCAGATGTGTCTGACAGAAGGGGAACTGAGACCCTCCTATCTCAGAAGAAACAGCATCCCATACCAGAGATGGGGGGCAGTGCAACTGCTCCCTGAAAACTGCTCCATCTGGATCATCATCTAGAAGCTCAAGTTTAATTATGGCTCCCATTGTTCTTTGTTTCATGTTTACAATCTCTTTTCTTGAGATAAAAAGGTTCCTTTCAGCCTCCTGTGCTCTTGTCCAATGGTCATGATCTTTTAGTTCAAGGCAATAAAAGGATAAATGATGCTTTCCAGATTTTCTTCAAGGTCTTTTTTTAATGTTTAT